CCTGCTTGCCTTTCTGATTTGCAATTATCTCCATTTAGACAGCTGCAAGGAAAAACTGCACAGGAAACTTCCAAGTGTCTCTGGATGAATTCAATTACTTCGACCATCACAACTGTTTTCTTACCACAAAGAGGAGAAATGGAAGCAAATACTGGTACAGATGCCTTCTGGGTAGTGAGATTTAATGCTATTAGGGACAAAGGAAACATTGTAATTACAAACTAGGTCCTTTAAGTTTGACAGAGGAAAGATTAAAAACCTTATCCTATCCAGAACAGAAAATCTATGTGAATATTATCCTGTATTTTCATTAGACAGATTTTTGCATGAAATAAGCTAAATTTGCCTAAGCTGTAAAGATCAGCATGTTGGGACACTGATCTGTCTTACCCTCCTGAATCTTTAATTGTCTTTCTAAATAAATCAGCTCAGGACTTGGGCAGGTAACCTCAGAGCAGAAGTGATCTGTGACTCGTTTTAGTGGCTGACTCAAACCTGGGTCCAGATCATGAGGGCTGTTGGGAGTCTGTCCTGAACTGAACAAAGACTTAACTTAACTTTTAGTTAAATTGTTGAACCTTGTATTACCATTTTCAGATTACAAAGAGCGCGAAGTACTGGAACAGATTGCTTGGGAATGCTGTGAATTCTACATCACTGTCCCTATAAAGAGCAGGTTAGACAAGTACATCAGGAATCATTTATGTAGAGTTGATCTTGTCGTAGAGCAGAAAAACAGAAGAGATGACCTCTCAACATCCTTTTGACACTTATTTCCTATGATTGTGCTTTGAATTTAGATATGCAAACAACATATATGTATTTAAAGTACCCTTTGTGTGTAGTTTAATTATTCAGTACTGAAGTATGTCTTAAACAGAGATATGCAACATATATGTATTTAAAGTACCCTTTGTGTGTAGTTTAATTATTCAGTACTGAAGTATGTCTTAAACAGCCGATTAGTTGCTGTTTAAGACATACTAGACTGGAACAAAACAAGGAGGTTTGTTCCAGTCTAGGTCCTGTATTTTCTTCAACGGATACACTTCCTTGTTACTTTCTTTAAAGAACATTTATGTTACATTTTAAAATTTGTTCTCTTTATAAATATGATGGTATACTCATATTTCTTCAGGCTTACTGCCAAAAATATTTTCCTGTTTGCTGTGTGAGGTGTTTATAATTATAAAGAGTTGCTCCCACTACTTTTTATGAAGGGAACAGTAGAAATTGCAGCGATTAGTGGGTCTGCAACTTGGTGGGCTGCTAAGGGAGAGAAAAAATGTAATTTCCAAATAATTTTTAATACATTGTGCAGAACAAATCCTCTCTGAATCATTCCTTATAGTGATAAACTACTTACCACCATTGAGAACGCATGCCTCCAATTTCAGTAATTTAAGATAGAAACATGCAGTACTGACACCCGTAGCATCTTATTCCAAAAGCAGGGTCACTTGTGGTGTAACTGGCCACTGCTGAAGAATCAGGTCGCTTTGTGTTCCTGTCAAGATCAATAAGGGTAGCAGAAGCTGGTTAAAAATGTATACACGCTTAAGGAGGCAGATCGGTAATTAAAAAACACTGGAACAGACCAACTGACATAAATAAATCAATAAAGCTGATAGTTTTATGAAACTGGGTTTTGTTTCCATTGAAATCAGACACAGGCGGTTTGGTCTCTATCGTTATAACACAGCACACACAGCAGTAAAAGATCAGGTTATGTCACTTAAATGCAGTTGTGATGGAGGACTCGACTGTGTTAGCATTAAAGGGCATTAACATTGTACAGCAAACATAGTGCATGAGCAAAAAGGTTATGTCACTTAAATGCAGTTGTGATGGAGGACTCGACTGTGTTAGCATTAAAGGGCATTAACATTGTACAGCAAACATAGTGCATGAGCAAAACTTCTTCAGGAAGCTCATTAGAGCACATCAAAGACGGCTAAATCTACCTTCGTGTTAGGCTTCCCCCATTCATCTCCTTGGCACTCCTTTACTGTAGTTCTGGTAATTGGGCAACTCCATTCGTAGATAAATACAAGTTTATGCAGCTTCTAAAATTTGGGCTCGCAGACCTGAATGAGGACCATGAGCTTTAGGAGGAACTATTCTTCTACAGCAGAAAACTCTTCAGGCAGCACTGCTGGTACTGATCAAAACCAAAGTTTTGGGATTCACCTCTACTGCGGCGAAGGCCTACGACAAGAAAGCGTTACTTAATTTCAAGTACCAAGGGCTGGTGGTGTACAGTTACACAATTTTCGTTCATTTGTAGAACTGACGTGCCAACTTTGGGCACGCTTGCGGACGGGTCAAGCAGAGCTGTCGAGCAGCTCCGCAGGGGGACGCGGGCCCCTTCCAGGCACCCGGCTGCGGCATCGCCCCAGCGGGCCCGAAGACCTGCCGGCGGCCACCTTTCCTCAACAACGTCAACCAAGGTGCCGCGCAGTCCCGTTTGCTGCCGGGGCAGGACCCCACCCGGGGTGGCAGGCAGGGAGCAGCACAGCTGCCACATGCAAATAAGTGTAACTTTCCAGTCGCCTTTCCCCCGTTCCTAGGAATAGTAAATAACCCTTCCCTCCACTTCAAAAAAAAAAAAAAAAAAAAAAAAAAAGCACCCCCCCCCATTTCTCCCCCCCAACACAT